GACGTGGACGGGGACGTGTACGCTTTCTCGTACTCGTGCACGGAGGGCGAGAACCGGGAGCTGTGGTCCTCGGGGCACCACCTGAAGTCCTGCCGCCAGCTTCGCTTCACGGCGGACGGAGAGAAGCTGTACAGCGTGTCCCGAGACAAGGCCGTGCACCAACTGGACGTGGAGCGGGGGCAGCTGGTCACACGGATCCGAGGGGCCCACGGGGCGCCAATCAACAGTTTGCTCCTTGTAGACGAGAACATCGTGGCGACCGGAGACGATGGAGGCACCTTAAAGGTCTGAACAGGGTCTCGCTCCGTCATCCAGTTACCAGAAAGAGATTTAAGAGATCTTTTTGTGCCAGATTCAGTCATTAATACACAACAATTCAAAATTTAAACACTGAGGACTAAAGATGTTGAGTGTTGGAGGGGTCATAATTTGAAGAGGTGCACTTGTTCTGATGTTTAGAAGCAACTAAAGCAAAGCCTCTGTCTCCTCTGTTCTTGAGTCTGCTTCTTGCAACAACCAGAAGCATCAGGTCAGCTGCCCTTAAAGATCTGTTGTAGCGTGCTTAGTTAAAAGTTGACAAAGTTAAGAGGGTGAGACTGCAATTGGTGACTTAAATCAGACATTTTCAAATTAAATCTAAAACGTACTGGAAGCCAAAACAGGTCAAATATGGTCTCGTTTACCTGTGCCTGTCAGGAGTCAAGTTGCTGCATCCTGAGCGATGATTAGATGAGAAAGCAGAGCCTGGAAGGTTCCCTGAACCGGACCTCTTGAAGTAGAGCACATTGCACCTCTGCGCTCCCGTCAGACTTCACCATTCTCCACTCCTTCAGTTTGCGACCGCAGTCATCGCTCTGCTCGCCGTAACATGCCGTGAACCTGTTTTTCACCTTCTGTCGGTTCTGATTGTAGTGACCCATGAGTTCACAGAGGACCTCTGGAGTAGAAAAGAATGACTACAATTGTAAGCTGCAGTCCAACCATGCTGGGCGATTGGGCTCCGTGATCCTTTGACATAGACATGCAGTCTATGGAGCAAGTTGTGTAAAGCACATTCAGAGTTCAGAGTGAAAAACCGTGCATAATAACTAGTCCATTCATTATTTACATCCTGTAAGCGAGTGGCAGCCGTTGTTGCCATTTATGCTTATACTGGTGCATCATGTGCTAATTACCATGTAGTGATGTCTGGATGTTTCATATGCAGTGCCAGCCAGGATGGAAACAAAGTGTTGTAATGTTTTTTCCCTCCAGGGTTCTCACTCTCTGTTGTAAAAAGTATTCATTCACTCATCCAAAACATTAAATTCAGGTGTTTGATTCACTTCCACTGCCACACTGAGGCATGCAGACTGCTTCCACAAACATTTGTGAAAGAATGGGTCGCTCTCAGGAGCTCAGTGAATTCCAGCGTGGTACCGTCATAAGATGCTACTTATTCAACAGGTCCGGTCATAAAATTTCCTCCACACAAAATATTCCACAGTCAGCTGTTCGTGGTATTATAACAAACTGGAAGTGATTGGGAATGACAGCAACTCAGCCATGAAGTGGTAAAATGACAGAGTGGGGTCAGCGGATGTTGAGGCACATGTGCAGAAGTTGCTGACTTTGTGCAGAGTCAGTTACTGCAGACCTCCAAGCCTCATGTGACCTTCATATCAGCTCAACAACAGTGCGTAGAGAGCTTC